GTGTTATATGAATGGTCTTATTGTGGTTACATCCAAAAGTGTATTATAATATTGATGTATTGTCTTTTTGCTTTTGTTAAGCCAAACAAGGTTTAATGCTTTGATAACAAGTTTAAATTGGTCAACCAAAATGGATAAAAATATTTTAAATGCGAAATATATAATATTGTCACCATCAATAATAGTTTGGCACCCCAAAGTAATCTTGAAAGGTTGTTAAAATTATTATTGTAAGTTCTATTGTGTGCATGAATAGTTGGCTCAAGGTCGAGCACATGGGTTGAATTGAGTTTTAAATTTAAAGAAAATTAAAAAAAAATATATATATATATATATATTAAATGCAATAAATAAAAAAATTTAATATGTATTCGTTCAAATTCCCAATGTAATGCCATTTTTTTTATTTTATTGATAGACCAAACAGTAGAAATAAGAAATTAATAAAAACTTATATCACTGTGCAAATCAGAAGATAGCCAAAGGGGGAGGGGGAGGGGATAGAACTCTAACGTAGAGATGCCTTCCTCACCCACCGCTCGACGAGCAAGACAATGTGCCACTCACTCCATTCACACCACGCTGAACAAAACTAAAATTACACCGAATAAATCGAACCTGAACAACATTCTGAACAAAATTGAAATTATACCGAATAAATCAATCCTGAACAAATAGAATGTCAGAAACAATGCTACTAATATGCTCAAATAAGTTAGATGATGAACAAACAAGCTAAGGTGAGATTTGGTCCCTACTCGAGTGCCAACGAAACTGCAAGGTGAAATTTGGTAATTCCTTTTTATTAACTTATTATTATTATTATTTTATAATTAAAAAAGGCTGATGTATTTGATAATTGTTTGATAAGTTGCTTTTTATGGAAAAACAATTGTGGATCTTTTCAATTTTTTTGTGTTGTAAGTTAAAATTATTATATTACCCTCATAGTGATGTGAGCCCTTATTAACATAACTGAGATAAAATGAAAATTCTCAAACTATTGAGGGTAAAATCATTTTTACACAATCTGTAGAATTTTTCAAAACAAAATAGACTTTTTACTACTACCTTTTTAGCCCCCCAAAAAAAAAACTCATCTGAAGATTGCCAAACAAAACCTAATTGTGTGACATTGAAGAAAGTGATTGCTTTACTGGCAATGTGAAACCTTAACCATTTAAGCCATAAACAAATAGGCATATTTGACTTGCATTAGAGGAGTCACAACCAACTTTACCTTCTGTTTCACAAGCAATTCTAGTCAACTAATTGAGAATTACTTAAATATCAATGTTTGGATCATTAATCTATATAGAGATTTGGGAAGGAAAAGAAAAAGAAGAGCAAAATGGAGAAAAAATTGATTTATATTTTATTCATATTTTTCACTTTTTTTTTTCTTCAAATTAGTATTTAAATTTATAATCTAAACAGAGTTGAAATGTCTATCTAATCAATTAATTTGATATGCTTTTAAAACATTTTCATTAACTTGGCATGGACTTGACCACATATGCTATTGAGTTCTTGATGGACAAAACAGTTTTTTGGCAACTTCAAATTATAATTAGATCAAGAGTTGATCAAGTGGATGAGGTGTTTTTTTTTCTCCTTTTTCTTTTTAATCAGTGAAAGAAAAGAATTTTATTGATTTTAACCTGAAAGTGTCCAACAAGACTCTCCAAACATCAAAATCAAGATTCGAGTCTTGCCGTTGTGCTGTATTATTTCTGTTTTCTTTTATTCCTCTCCTACAATTGTTCAAAAAATAAAATAAATAGAAACTAAGCACCACAATCTTCCCAGTTGCTTAAGACCAAAAACAACCAAAACCAAATAAAACAAAACAAAACAAAAATAAAAAGATCCGAGATGGTCCTACATCTACCCAGGATATCTCATATTATATATAGTTGTATAGATAAATTCTACTATACGTACTTAAAAGGGAAGTATCATATACTTTTAATTATGTCATTTTTATTTTTAGTTATAACTTATTTTAGTTATAATTCATGAGATTTTTAGTTATGTCTCATATAATATTTAGTTGTGACTTTTTTTTTGGTTATGACTTAGGAAATATAAAATTATGTCATTTTCTTCTTTATTATAAGGTGCATGCATATAAGGGTGTTTTGGAAAGATAATTAAAAATTGACTTTTTGACTTTTTTGACTTTTTTGACTATTTCATTTGAAAGGTGATGTGACTCAAAATGTGTTAAAAATTAGCTTTTGATTTTTTTGGTGTGTTACCAAAACAACCCATAGTACACAATTGGTGAGCTGTATCATAATTTTTTCCATTTGTGTATGTTGAGTATCGTTACATCTACAATTTTGAGCTCTTTCGAATTGGTCGAATTCGTGCATGTTGTTTAACACATTGGTTGCCCAGAAGGTCGTCCAGCCAATCATTCGGATGAATGTCGATTGGCAAAGATAATAATCACAGTTGATCAAAACACAACCGTGATTGACGAGGGTGACACTAATCATTCATACGATTGGCTGGGAGATCATCTACCTTCCATTGTTTGAACAATTGAGGCAAGTTCAAATTCGATGAATCAACTGTTTTTTTTATATATACATTTTATTTTTTATTTTTTATTTTTTAGGAATCTTGTATACATTGAATCCATGGAAGAGGTACAGCTGGCAGCTGTCTACCTTTATTACCCAGTACAGTACTTGTTCATCAACTTGGCTTGGACTTAACCACGTATGCTTTCTTGATGGACAAATCAGTTTTTTGGCAACTTCAAATTATAATTATATCAAGAGTTGATCAAGTGGATGAGGTGTTTTTTTCTCCTTATTCTTTTTAATCAGTGAAAGAAAAGAATTTTATTGATTTTAACCTGAAAGTGTCCAAAAAGACTCTACAAGCATCAAAATCAAGATTTGAGTCTTACCGTTGTGCTATATTATTTCTGTTTTCTTTTATTCCTCTCCTACAATTGTTCAAAAAATAAAATAAATAGAAACTAGGCACCACAATCTTCGCAGTTTCTTAAGACCAAAAACAAAAACAAAAACAAAAACAAAAAGGATCCGACCAGGATGGTCCTACATCTATTCAGGGTATCTCATATTATATATATTTGTATAAATAAATTCTATTATACGTACTTCTTAAAAGAAAAGTATTATATGCTTTTAATTATGTTATTTTTATTTTTAGTTATGACTATTTTAGTTATAATTCAAAAGATTTTTAGTTATGTCTCATATAATATTTAGTTGTGACTTTTTTTTTGGTTATGACTTGTTATATCCATAGAATTTGAACTATCCTGAATTGGTCAAATTTGTGCATGTCGATTAGCACATCAATCATCCAGAAGGTCGTCCAGTCGATCATCCGAACGAATGTCGGCTGACATATCTGTTGACGAAGATGATAGTCGCAGTTGAAAAGGACACAATCGTGATTAACGAGACTGACACTAGTCATCTAGACGATTGGCCGAGAGATCGTCTACCTTACATAATTTGAACAATTTAGGCAAGTCTTAATTCGATAAATCAATCATTTTTCTTGCATACACAATTTTTTTTTTTATTTTTTTTGAGGGATCTTGTATATACATTGAATCGATGGAAGAGGTACAGTTGGCAGCTGTCTCACCTTTATTACCCAATACAGTACTTGTTCATGGGGACCTAATCCAGCTAACATGAATGCAAATTCTTTACAGGTAAATTTGCAAATAGGAGCCTAAAGAACCCTAGAGTTTTGATTTTATATATTTATATATACTAGTGGATACACACATATGTGTACCATCAAATCTACAATAATTGAAGTAGTTGAAAAAATTTAGGGAAAATTATCATTATAGGTTGGTGAAAAAATTTATAATTTTAATTATTAATATTTGTAATATTATCATTTTTTTGTAAATATTTTTTCTAATTACCATATCAGTGTAATTCTACCAAAAATTTATAGGGAAAAAAAAATAAAAAAATTGAAGCACTTTTGACTGGCATATCCGCTCTTATGTAACTGCTCGTGTGAATATTTTCATAAATCAAAAGAATGGCTGCACGTACCACCAACTTGATTCAACTTTGGCCTATTTTACAAAAATAGTAAAAAGTAATTTTTTGACTTTTAACTAAATTTTTGATTTTTTTAGATAAATAATTTAAAAAATTTGTAAAAAGTTAATTTTAGTTTTTTTATTAATATTTGTTTATGATGTCAAATCATAATAAAATGACCAAACCACCCCATTCAATTTAAAATATTTACAACTTTATCCATGTTGCATAATTTAACCCATGAGTGATAAAATTATAATTTTACCAGTGGCTAAAAAACAACTTCCCAAATGCCTTCAAATACAAAAAAGTCTCATTTCCGATGTACCAAAAAAACAAAAACAAAAAAGTCAACTTTTGGCTTTTACTACAAACCTAAAAAAGTAGTTAAAAGCCAAGTTTCCAAAACACTCATCTTTTGGAAAGAGAGTAAAAAGCCAACTTTTAATTTTTTACCCATTTAAAAAAAACAAAATAGACTAAAAAAGTCAAAAAATTAACTTTTTATCAACTTTCCAAAACACTCCTACGTATAATTAATTGGAAAAAGCACATAAATAGTCATGTAATTTGATTTGTGTCAACTTTATTGAAATAATTTTAATTGCATTGTTTTCGTCATTTATAATTTTATATTGTGTCAATTTGATTAAAATAATTTTAATTGCATTGTTTTAAAATAATTTTAATTGCATTGTTTTCATCTTTTAAATCTTATATATTGTGTGAATTTGATTTAATGAATAAAATAATTAAGAAATTAAACAAAAACTAAAGGTCAAAAGAAGGAGAAATGGTGAATAGACCATACGGTTCTTAATTTTTGTTTAATTTCTTAACCACCGTCATCAATTGCCTTGCTTCTATATATATCTATATACTGAGATTCTCTCCATTCCATAATTGTAATGGAGAAACAAATTGTGAAATAATCATGAAATATAGAGAGATTGAGAAAATAGAGAAGAAAAGCCCAATTGTTTTCACACTGAAAGAGGAACTAGATGCTGTCCTCTCTTTAAGTCCTAAGAAAGCCAATACATGGGTTTTTTTTTACATCAAATCTAAAGTTGAGAAAGAAAAAGCCTAGAAATATAAATATCGATTACAAAATTAGATACAATTTTTTTTCATAACATAATTATATCTAATTCTGTGATCGATTTATGTGCAAGTAAAACAACGGAATTAAAAAGAACTACCCTAATACACTAATATACTAGGAGGGCAATAGTGTGCAATAATCAAAATTCAAATTGCAAGACGTCGTCAGCAAAATCAACGGCTCCCACCATCATATCATCCATGTCCAAGCCATGACTATGAGTGCTAGCTGTACATGAGTACACACCGGATGATATCACATCCCCATGATCCGATCCAGATGACAACCCTGTCAATGGCCCTGACGATTCAAACATCGCTAGATCCGGCGACCAAAAGTAATTAGACGCCGATAATTGGTTGGGGTTCAAATCTGATGGCTTCTGATCTTCCTTGTACTCTTGCTTTATCAAGGGAAAGGTGGTGGTGGTGGTGGTTGGGAAATATGGATTGTGTGATGATTTGTTGTGGTTCGAGTTTGGATTTGGGTTTGAATTTGAACCGAAGTTGAGTAGGACCGAATTCCGACCCGAATCCAAGCTGATGTGATCATCATGATGAGGTGATTTGATCAATGGGTTTTTGCAAGTGTGGAAACCATGGTATGTGGTCCGGTACATGGGTGGCTCATCCTCGGTTAGTTGAACCTGTTTTGTGGCTTGGCAGCCCTGATCAAACTTGTGGGTGCACCTAAAGTAGTTCCTGCTCATCAAAAAGTAAATGATAATAAGCACACTTTTTTATTTTTTTATTATTTTTAGATTACATCACCTCTCTATTTTTCTGCATATCTTTTTGTAAAAATTCAAAAAGTACATTTATTCAGATCATCCTAAATAAATATATTATTTTTAAAATATTTTTTTAGGGTGCATAGTTTTAGATATATGTACATCATTCATGTAATATGATTGAATATAGCAAATATATGTAGGACAACCAACCGAATCAAGTTATTTAAACTTAACTTGTGGTTGACTCATTAAAAACTCATCTGAATTCAAATCATTATGTAACAAATTAAGTTTGAACCCAATTTAAAACTTGTTCAGCTTGTGTGTATATATATATTGTAAGAGTCTGAACTAGACTATTTGATGTAATTTCTGCATACAACTTATTAAACAAAATTAATTCAAATAAGTCAGGAAAAAAAAACTAATTATCTAAAGCCCAAGAAAATAGTGCTTTTGATTTATATTTTTTGATTAATTAACATTTAACTTATAATAAGGTGCACCAAATAAGTTTATTAACATTTTTCTACTAAAAATTGATGGTATAATAACTTATTGAAATTCAATGTAATTATATACCTTGGGTGTTTGGCATTGAGGATAACTTTTTGTCCATACTTTCTCCATGCATGGCCATCATCAATTAAAGTAGGGGTTTCTCTGGTCCATGTTTGTGACGTCTTTCTGCATTGAGATAAATCATATCATGAGATAAAAGAATTATACATGAGAATTTTTCTGTATAAACTATGCTTTCAAAAGCAAATTAAGGTATTAATTAATAATAATATTCTAGATAATGATTATAATTCTAGTAGTACCAAAGTTTTCATGATTGACTTGGAACCAATAATAGTGGATAAAAAATAATAATAATAATAAATGAGGAGTTCCTATATGATCACTTCATATTTCTATGCATCACATGCATTGTTAACTTGTACCTTGTGGCAAAATTTTGTACATCTGAGCATAAAAATAAATTTTAAAATTGGTTTGAAATATTTTAAATAAATGTATTTTTTAAGTTTTTATAAAAAGAATACATAAAAAAATAGAAAAAAAGTGAGTAGAAAAGTAAAAAAAAAATAATAAAAAATATAACCTAAATAAATATATATATATATTTTTAACACGTGCCAAATACTCAATGAGAATTGATATAACCTAAATAAATATATATATATATTTTTAACACGTGCCAAATACTCAATGAGTGCAACATTTAGCAACTCTGGAAAAGTATAAGTTGTTCCTCGGTGTCACCTATCAAAAAGACTAAAATGCCCCCCTCGGAACAACATAGGCTTAGGTCGAACATGATGGCAATTATTATTTCTCAAGGAAATTTACAAATATAATTATGGGATGTTTTAAGAGAATGATTAAAAATTGATTTTTAATTTTTTTTATTATTTTATGTGAAAGATAATTTGAATAAAAATGAATTAAAAGTTAATTTTTAACTTTTTAATCCATGTTTTCAAATGACCCATAAAGAATGTTAAAATATGCTCATGAGATTTTAACTTGGGTCGAGCCGAACTAGGCCAGGCCGGATCTAAGCTGGGTTAGGGCATAAGATTTACTTAAGCACGTTAACGGAGCGTTTCGTCTTGTCTGGAGTACTATATAAATATATATTTTTACATTTTTTAAATTATATCATCATTTTTATTTTTTTACATATTTTCTATAAAAATTAAAAAATATATTTATTTACATCCTTTCAAACACTTAAATGCTTAGATTCGAATTTTATTTTTGTGTTATGATATTTATGGTTTCTCTTCTGCCGATTGTAATAAAATAATAATAACAAAAGGCCCATAGATTCTAACCGGGCAGACAAACCTAAAAGCGAAAAAAAGTGACGCGCAAGCTTTAGCTTGGCTTCAGCTCATAAGTTGTGCCAAATAGAACTTAAAACAGAGGAGTGCTTCACCCCCAAGCTAATCTCTTATCTCGTGATTATTATAATTAAGAAAAACTTTTCAAAAATATGTATAAAAAAAAGAATTGTAAAGATCATAAAAAATACCTTAAATTATTCATTAAAAAATACATTAAAATTATAAATATTTTTGACATCTCTCGTTTATCTTAACAAGCTTTTGGTAACATGACCCATAAACTAACCAAAAATAAAAATAAAAGTAGAGAGAAAATTACACTTTTAATTTTTATAATTTGATTTAAATTTTACTTGTATTCTTATCATTTGAAATTGAATATTATAGTTCTTACCGTTAAAATCATTTCATTCAAATTAGATATTACAATTAACGATTTTAAAACACATATTCATCTCTTGAGATATACAAGTTGACAAAAGAGAAATACAAAAAATCCACAAATTTACTGGTATCAAAAAGTTCACCCAATATTATGGGTCAAATTAAGAAATTTTTTAAGATGTATCAAAAAAATTTTCAAAAAATGAAAAATCAATTTGAACAGAATAATCAAATTGAAATTAAATTTAAAAATTGAGAGACCAAAAGTAAAAAGTGTAATTCACCCATAAAAGTAAGCTTGTACTAATCACCTTCTCTTGTAACACCCCCGCCGGTCCTTCATCGCCGGCGGAGTACACTTGCTACTTTCGCCGGAATCTTCAGACTTCCGGCCATCGGAAGACGGCGAACCCACCGCCTCATCGATGGTGGCGCCGCTGCCATTCAAAATTATCATTATTGTCTCCGAAAACGATCCCATGATTTTGACGACGAGTTCGTCGGCGGCGAACTCTCCGGCGTGGGGTTTGCCGAGGACGAGCCTAGTGAGGAGCTGATTGGTCAATTCGCGGCCTCGAACCAGCTCTTTAATTGCCTTTTTCCGATCAGATGATAAATTTTCCGGCGAAGATGAGTTCATTGTGGGTGTGAGAGAGAGAGAGGGGGGCTGTGAGTGAGTAGTGTTTGGTACTAGGAAAGTGAAGAGAAAGAGAAGGGATTTTAAATGGAGAGAGAGAGAGAGAGAGAAAGAAAGTGGGCAAATGCAAGGAAGATTAAAAAGGGGTTGCTTGGAAAATTCCTTCACTTGAAAGAAAGTCGCCAACCCCACGCGCGCCACGCTTCATGGGTTGTACAACTTTTGGCCTTATCATCAACCTCACAAATTTAGGTAGCTCTCCAATTTGACTCAAAATCCTCGTTTAAAAATTAAGGTGCCGTTTGGTAACACTTACGTTTTCTGTTTTCTGTTTATATTTACAAAAATTTTAAAAACTTAAATAAAAATTTGTTTGGTAAAATTTTTGATTTATAAATCAGTGGTCTCAGTTTATAAATTTGGCCAAAAAATGAAAACAGGAAAAATGTGTTTCCATTTTGAGTTTTCAGTTTTTTTCGTTTAAAAATTAAGTATTTAAATATTTTTTAAATTTTTTATATAAAAAATAAAAAGAATGATTTAACAAATTATAGTGACATAACTAAAAATCTATGTTGTCAAACATCCCTATATAAAATTATTAATTTCATTTGGAAATGACTTTTTAATTTGGCTAATAAAATTTCGTTAAAAATGAATTTTTAATTTTCTTATAATTTTGTGAAAGAAAAAATGAAATGATTATAATTTAATTGTGACATTTTTTCTTATTAATTTTTTAGCCTATTTTATTTTTTAATTGTCTAAGAGGGTGTTCGGAATAATCTAAATAAGTATATTTTTTATTTTTTAATTGTCTAAGAGGGTGTTCGGAATAATCTAAATAAGTATATTTTTTGATTTTTTACTAAAAAATGTACCAAAAAAATAGAGAGGTGATATGATCTAAAAAAAAAAAAAAAAGTATATTGATGATGCAATTTGGTCGATGTAAGATGGGTCAGACCGATCCAAGGGCTCTACCGGTTGATTGTCCTTCGTCCTCCCAACTGCACCTGCAACAAGTCTAACGGCAGGATTTTGAAATGGGATGGTTCCTCCCTGCGGACTCTCTGACGAACAAGTTAGATATGGAATGAGGCCAGAATAATAGTTTAGAGAGAGAGAGTTGAGTGTGTGAGTGACCAAGTTCTGTCTACCCTTAAAACGTTCCTCCTTAGTTTCCTTATCCTTCTTCCTCATCATTTCCTTGTCCATTCATGCTCTTACATTGGTCGAAAGCTTACCACCTACTCGCCGTCAGGCATGGTGGTTTCATCTCCTCACTATTCGAGAGGTTTTGTTGCATTTAATACCTTGACAGTCTCATTTAATGCTTGGCGTACGAATGCAATAACTTTGTAAGATCTTTATTTACCACGTGGCTAACTCCCTACCTGACATATATCTAACTAGCATCTGGGCTTGGCCAATGTGAGTTCCCTATTGGGCTTGGTGTTGAGTCTGTTTGTTGGGCATCGACCAAGTAGCTGTTTGAGTAACCCAAAACGACCATAGGTTTGGCTCTCTTAGGCCATGTCCATCAGTTCGCAATGCCTGTTTTCTCGCGCCTTGTCAATATATTGTTCGCTTTGGTCGGAGTCTCACGGTTTTGTTCCTCTTCGGGGGATTAACAGGTAGAGGGAGCCAGTACGCTTATAAGGTGGAAGTGGGAGTCCCTCCCTCGTCGATGTGGGATTGACCCAACATTACCCCCCAACAGATTGGGCTGCAACAGCGGGAGAGTTTGCCAGATTGCTTACCCTCTACTGCCAAATTTCGCGACACCTGTTCTCTCGTGCCCCGTCAATATATTGTCCAGTTTGGCCGGAGCCTCACGATTCCTCCTTCGAGAAAAGGGCCTATTGACAGATGGAGGGGGCTAGTGTGCTTATAAGGTGGAAGTGAGAGGTCGATGTGGGATTGACCTAACATATACTAATATAAGAAATGTCAAATAAAGCCTAAATTAATTTCAACTATCTTGCCAAACAAAGGTATAAAGAGAGAATAAATGAGTCTTTTTGTTTTTTTTCATAGTAACATTTTTAACAGTAACATTCCTAATAACTAAGTTTTGCTAACTCATTAAACTATCTCAAACTACTAAATGAGTTTTTTCATTTTTGAAATTGTTCAAAAATTTAAATATGTAATTGCAAACCGACCTCACTATCACCCACTACTAGTCCTATATTAAAGGTATAGGTCATTTTTTCGTGAAGATTTTTATATATTTCTAAAATATTCACAACAGTTAATGAATTTTAAGTTTTTATATTTTTAAAATATTCATAACAGTTGATGAGATAAAAAAATTACAATGTAAAAAATTCAAACAAAAATGTTAAATTAGAAAGTATAAAAATCTTAACAAAGTGTTGAAATAGAAAATATCACAATGAGTGTTGAAGTAAAAAACACTTAATTCCAACCTTCGTAAGAGCATATTTAATGGTATATCTTTTTGGAGATTTTTTTTAAGGTCCATGGTATTAAGATTTTATAGTATAAAGGACACTCAATATTTTCGTAATGTCTAAGATTTTTCAACATCGATCCAGAGAAAATTTGATCCAGAAAAAATTCGTTCTGGACAAATCACAGAGAAAATTCCAAACCAAAGAAAATTTCAATCTAGAGAAAATTGAACATTTCAATCCAAAGAAAATTGAACAACTAGAGAAAAGTTCAATCCAGAGAAAATTGAACAATCAGAGAAAATTTCAATCTAAAGAAAATTGAACAACCAGAGAAAATTTCAATCCAAAGAAAATTCGACTTCACATAGAAAATCTCACTAGAGAAATTCAGAATTTCTCTGGACACTTCAACCCAGAGAAATTCTCCCCTCCACCCTAGAGAAATTCACTCAAACCCAGAGAAAACCCCATTCCAACCCAGAAAAATTCACTCAAACCAGAGAAAATCCCCCTCTCTAACCTAGAGAAATTCCCCCTCACAATCTTTTCTGGTTGAAAATCATAAACCTCCGGCAAAATGTGTTCCATGGTTCATAAAAACGAGAGAGCACAATACAATTTTTTCTTTTCTTTTCTCGATTCTCAAACAGACTCTAATTGCTCAGCTATATATGAATATAAAAAAGAAACCCTAGATTTCAACGAAGCTCTAGTTTTCAAGTTTCTGAGATATTATAAACACAAATTCAGTCATCAAGAAAGCAAACTATACAGCCAAAGCTAGAACGAACGGAATAAAACAAAGCACAATACTAAAACAGAGAATAGTATGTTCGAATTGGGGAATCACATCATTCTTTGAGGTTTTCCTCTCGAAACTGCTTCAGAACATGGTCAAGAGACTTCAAAGACCTTAGAGACCTAAAATACCATCTCCAAGTTGAGCTTGCTCTCGAATTTGCCGTAGATGGAGCGAAAGAGAGCTTGATACCGTGAAGGAAAGAACTCTTCGAGATGCCAATAGCAGTGGATAGTTCGCAGTTGTTGATGGTGATGGTTGGAGCTGCGAGATGAGAGAGAAGCGAGGTCACCATAGCCACTTTCTCTTTCTAGAATTCGAAGATTACTCGCTCACTCAATTTAAGCCAGAAAATGAGAAAGGCATAGTGATGGTGATTGGAAAAAGAGAGAGAGAGAGAGTCAAATTTCTCTGATCTGATATGTGGGTGTGGGTTCAGGGACCTTAGACATCAAAAAATAATATTGTGGATCTCTTCCATTACTAAAAATGGCAGATGGAACTTAGACTAATTTTCCCTATCTTTTTTTTTTTATTTATATTAAATTTGAATAAAAACTTAATTTAATAACAAGTGCCTCAACGAAGGATTTGGAACTTTCATCAAAATATTGGTCGATAGGGTGGACAATCGGGCAGATGTCCGACCGATCAACCGACCAGTGCACTTTTTTTACAAATTTTTACCTTGTAGTGGTCATTCGAGAGGACATCCGGCGGTGAAAATTCAATGGTTATGAACAGTGATTTGATGATAGCTCCCATGGGTCCTGAATTTGGTGAAAGATTTTCGATATTATTAATTTGATACTAATCTGATGAAACTATTGAAGCAGCAAAAAAATTATTTTTTTTATCAAATTTAAATTTGATGAAAGAATTAATGAATCATTGGAGATGGTCTAATAATTGTAAGATTTTTAAACTTACTTAAATATTTTTTCATATGAACTACAGGCAAAAATGAATTTAATTAAGTGAACAAAAACTCTTTCACTAATTATTTATTACTAGTAAGATCCACTTTATAAGTAGATGAATGAAATAGTTTTTGGCAAAAATAATACTACCAAACTCGTTGATACAAAATTATAAAATAATAAAAATTGAATTATTATTATGTTTTTTGGACCAGTGATTTATACGTGTTATACGAGCGCGTGAGACGAGAGTCTCAAACAAGTTGATGACGTCAGGATGCCGATGTCATGCCCTTGCGTCAATCACGTGCCACCTGGCACTTTATTATAATATTACAAGTTTTTGGTGTTACAAATATAAATTTCCAACTTGGTGAACACGCTTACTCTATTTGACAAATAAAAATAAAGAGTATAGTATTAGCAACCACACCATCGATCTATCCACACCCATTTGGATTTTTTTATTACAATTTTAAAATTATCTTAAAATTTTATTTTATTCTAATCTCTAAATTTTTAAATCCTAATCGTAAATCTACACTACCCGACTACTACCACCATTTCCCGCAACAACTCCCACTCTTTTCCGTTACCGTTAACCCTTCTTCTCTTGATAATTCTTTACCTTCTCATTTCACTCAATTTTCGTTTGGTGCCACACACTCTCTTTATTTCTCTCAATTGAAAGGCTATAGGAAATAGTTGGGGTTGGCGAAGGAGTAAGGAGGTTGGAGGTAGGATAAGAGAGATTGGTGAAGGACTACTGGAGATAAGGGTAATGGGGGAGCTGTGGAGGGTATTAAGAGATGACGAAAGAGGTTAGAAAGGAGTTTCCAAAGATAAGGGTGGTAAAGGATGGTGTATAAGGGCTAGAGAAGGTGAAGAAAGGCTACTAGAGGTGGCGACAGTAGTGGCTAAATGTGTCTAAGATTAGGATTTTTAAGTGTTAGGAATAAA